AATTATAAAAGTAAGTATATATATAAATAAAGATTAATTAAATATAATATAATTATTATTATTAGTAATATAATTATTATATATTTATAACGGTCCGAATATAGCAAAAACATGTTGAGGTTGTTGACGAAACGGATCTTTCTGAAGTTGTTCGGGTGTTAAAGCAGAAAATGGAGATCATGAAACAGCAACGAGAAAAAGATGCAAGGGAACTTGCAGCCTTGAAAGCCGAGAACGAGGCCTTAAAAAAGGATAATATGTCATGGAAACCCTTTCAAGCGGCAAACTCGCAAACTCAAGGGTCTTATCAGTCCCAAGCGATCCACACCTCGGTTCCCCATGCTTCGGCAGCAGCACCCGAGAAGTTCCCTTCGGCCCTCCCCACAGTTGGTCATCCTGCAGATGTGGCAACTATCAGATCGCACCGACATCCTTTCACCCCCTCTATTATGCAACTCCCCTTAATGGACAATTGGAAATCTCTGCCTATTGACAAATATGATAGTACAACAGATCCTGACGAACATTTGGATGTTTTCTTGACGCAGGTAACTTTAAGCACCACGGATGATGCCGTGTTGTGTCGGATTTTTCCAACATCCCTCAAGGGCAGGGCCTTGAGTTGGTTCACTCGACTTCCCCCCAATTCCATTGACTCGTTCAACACTTTGTCGTCCCACTTTACTATTCAGTTTGCAACAAGTCGCCCTCACAGTTTGATGTCCTTGTCGCTGGTTAGCCTTCGGCAAGACAAGAAGGAATCGCTTCGAACTTTCATGGATCGGTTCAACAAGGCAACCTTGGAGATTCGAGATCTTAATCCGGCTGTAGCGCTCCACCATCTCACAACAGCTTTGAAACCTGGACCATTTGTTAATAGCATCTGCAAGAAACCTCCTTCGGACATGAATGATCTACGAAGGCGGGCAGATAAATACATGCAGATGGAAGAATTGGCAGAGTATCGCAATCAGGCCCGAGCTGAACAGGGTGGTTCCTATATAAAATTTTAATAATCTAACTGTTAAATTAAAAGTTTTTAATTAATATATAATTTAGGTTTATCAAATTTTAAAAGAATTGAAAATTATTTAATACTTTATTTTATTAATTTAAAATTGACAGATAATTATAAAAATATTTTTATACGTTAATTTAAATTAATTAATAGAGTATTAAATAATTTTTAAATTTGTAAAAAAAATCATACTTCATCTATGCATTAAATTTTTTTAATTAAATGGTTTGATTGCTAAAATTTAATGTAGAATGTGAGTTATTGAATATAATAAGTCTAATTTGGAGTAAGTGGAGCTCTTCTTATATATATATATATGAGGAGGGTTATAATAATATCGGTGTAACTTTTACTAAGTATTAAACCGTTCAATAACTTTCTATTAAATGTGAATTTTATAAATTCAACCGTTAGATTGAAACTTTATATCACTTTATATGTTTTATCAAATTGTGTTAAAATTGAACAACAACTTGAAGATAATCAAACTGTTCATATTTTAGTATATTTTGAAATGTATATATTACATCAATTTTGTCTTATAAGAATGAAGTATCAAATCATCTTAGATTAATATAAATTTTTTTTATATATGATCTAAGAGTAAAGAACTTTCAATCTAATGATTGAATTTACAAAATTCACATTTAATATAATATTATTGAGCGATGTAATACTTAGTAAATGTTACATTGATATTATTATTATAACCCTCATTCTCATATATATATATATATATATATATATATATATACACGGTCAAGACTTAGTGATCTACCCATACACCACTTAAAAGGTAATCCACAACAACATCCACCCTCCAAAAGTTTAACTAGCGAAAATTTATCTTTCAGAAATATACTTTTATGTTTATAACGAGCCGTTCTACCATAAAGCAGTTCAATCAATACCTCATCCATGAGGCAGTAAAATGACCTGTAATAGCAGGTTTTCTAACTTGTTTAAAATTGCAAAATAGTCCTTATACTATATGCGAAGGCACTATGGACGCGCGGTGGCGGCGGAGGCACGGTGGCAGCGGAGGTGCCGTCTCCTTCCACGGTGGGTGGCAGCATGGTGGTGGCAGTGAAGGTGTGACTTCGTTCACGTAGTGGCAGTGCGGAGGCGCAGGCTCCTTCGTGCGGTGGCAGTAGAGGCGCGACCTCTTACGCGCATTGGTAGTGGAGGCGCGGCCTCCTTCACGCAATGGCAGCACGGAGGCGCAACCTCCTTCGCGTGGTGGCAGCGAAAGCGCAACTTCGTTCGCGCGGTGGTAGCGGAGGCTTAACTTCGCTCACGCGGTGGCAACGGAGGCGCGACCTCCTTCTTCACACGGTGGCAACGGAGGTGCGGGCTCCTGCTCCTCCGTGCCACCAGCCTCATGTCCTTCCTCTACCGCTACCTGACCCTCCCCATCGTCCGCGACGTTCAACTCTGCTAGGGCCTCTCCTAAACCCTAAACCTCGCCACCTCCAAATTCGGCCCTCCCCGCCCCTGGCTCGCCCTCGAAGGCCTCACCGTCATCGTCTTCCTCGTCCTCACCACCCGCCAGTAGCCAAAACAATAACCCTAAACAGGGAAGGGACTAATATGTAAAATACAAAAATTTTCGTAAACAAGTTACAGGTAACAAATCTAAACCGTTGATTATTTTATTATTAAATCTACCGGTTAAAAATGGTGTTTCATTGATGTACCATTTTTCATATTACTTCATGTTAGAATTTTTGGTTTATCGCATAAAGAAACTTTTGTGATCTTTTAAAAGCATAAATCACCGTGAACGTTTGAACCATAAACAATTTTAATATTGTACTATCCGTACTGCGAAGCCGAGCTCCGAGCCCGGCACCACAGCGCAGGACGACCTCAGACACGCGCTGTGTGACGTCAGCTCGTCATCCTAATCAGATTGTTGTACTTATATATTTATATATGCTGATATTCTTTTCACTAGCTTATCCTTTGTTATTTCTATGTGGTTTGGACTGCAATGATCATACTGTGTATGGGAGCAGAGTAGGGTTAGGTTGGTGTCTTGAGGCGGGTCTGTAGCTGGCAAATGAAGTTTATTCTTTTGTTTTTTTTAGCTACTTAATATAGCATTGCTTGATGTATTTTGTATACTCTGATTTTTAAGCCCCAGGCTGGACCTTGTGTATATATTTTAGCTGCTTATATATACATGCATACCCTTGTCTATTTGGTGTTGTGTTTGTTGTTGCTGTGTGACGGTCAAGCGGGTCGTTACAGCTAAAATATGTATATCAAATATATAATTTTTAAAATTTTTTTTCACTAGCTTATCCTTTGTTATTTCTATGTGGTTTGGACTGCAATGATCATACTGTGTATGGGAGCAGAGTAGGGTTAGGTTGGTGTCTTGAGGCGGGTCTGTAGCTGGCAAATGAAGTTTATTCTTTTGTTTTTTTTAGCTACTTAATATAGCATTGCTTGATGTATTTTGTATACTCTGATTTTTAAGCCCCAGGCTGGACCTTGTGTATATATTTTAGCTGCTTATATATACATGCATACCCTTGTCTATTTGGTGTTGTGTTTGTTGTTGCTGTGTGACGGTCAAGCGGGTCGTTACAGCTAAAATATGTATATCAAATATATAATTTTTAAAATAAATATATTTATATAAAAAATATATTATTAATTAAAATTTAATTATTAAAAATTATATATATATATATATATA